TAGTTTTTTCTACGTTATAAAAACGGAAACCTTATTTTGAAGTATACTATCTAGCGATCACCACAAAATATATGGAAACAGGCGTCAAGAAGTATCTACTATCAAATATCAACTTTTTGACACGACCAAAAATGAAATATCTCCTTTTTAGATTAAACTTTTAATTTAAATGTGTGCTGCCATATTTCTTGTCCCTCCAACAAGGGATTCGCGCGACTAGACCCAGGACTTTGGGAAATGGCTAATACCCACCGTACTCATACTCTTTGAAATACTTACATGACCTATCAGTTTCCAGATATGCTCACAAATATGTGGACATATCGGTGCTAACAACAACACTTGAACTTCTATAAACCTAAAAACAAGATCGCGATGCATTCCTTCCGTCGACATTTCCCGATAACGATCTCGAGCTGCTTGAAACTCGAAGAAACCAGACTTAACGACTTCTCTATACAACATGTTCTCGTAGTTTTCCTTCGTTTTAGTTATCGCATAGTTAATTTCGCTGTAAAAGAAAGAGAATAAAAGGATAATTAGTATAGGTAATCATGCGATGACGAGTACAATTAGGGATTACTAGTACGAGTGATGTTTGGAAATTTTGCCAAAATTGGACGAGCAGCCAGGGCGAGAATAAGGGTTAGGTTAAAACGCGGAAGCGGATGCGGAACGGATGGGGTTAAAATGCGGAACGGATGGGGTTAAAATGCGGAATGGATGGGGTTAAAATGCGGAACGGATGGGGGTTAAAATGCGGAACGGAACGGATTGGGTTAAAATGCGGTTAATAATTTATTAATTTAATAAAGCCAAGTTTTGGCGGGATTCCTAAACTCCTTTGCGCGTCGTGTCAGATCCTCGAACAAACAAGTAAGCAGTAAATATTCTATTATTCTGGAGGAAACACAGTGGGTTAGTTTTTATAGTGAATACTATTATCAATACTGTTGAATTGGAGCTCGATTTTTGATATACGTCTGGCAGTACCACATCATTTTCAAAATACTAGGCCGTTTCAATTTTAATGAGCTTTCCACCTGTGTCTGTTATAAAATGTTTTTAACTATATATTTTGAAAGCTTCAAATGCGTGTACTTACATGCGCAGCAAGGCGAGACTGACACGACGCGCAAAGGAGTTTAGGAATCCCGCCAAAACTTGGCTTTATTAAATTAATAAATTATTACAGTAATTACAGTAATAATTCCGTATTTTAAAGATTCCGGCTTTTCTCGTTCCAGGTTTTAAAGATTCGGCTTTTCTCATTCCGGGTTTTAAAGATTCTTAAAGAAAACTTGCTCGTCTTTAACCGGCTTAATTGTCGCCTTGACAGAGTTATTTTTAAAACCATTGTTTATATGAACTTGCAACCAATCAAAATCTTTCATGATGCTGATCAACCAATCAGATTTCCCGTCCACCAGATGGATTTTAACCCAATATCCGTTCCGTTCCGCATTTTAACCCCATATCCGTTCCGTTCCGCATTTTAACCCCATATCCGTTCCGCATTTTAACCCCATCCGTTCCGTTCCGCATTTTAACCCCATCCGTTCCGTTCCGCATTTCCGTTCCGCATTTTAACCCCATATCCGTTCCGTTCCGTTCCGCATCCGTTCCGTATCCGCGTTTTAACCTAACCCGCGAGAATAATACAGCAACAACATTACTACATATAGCGGCGGCGAATTTGCTTAACTAACTAAACAAAAAGTAAATAAACTAGTTTTACAAATATGTGTGCATAAATAAACTCAATTCCATGTGGGTGATACCGAGTTTGTGGTATCGCTGGTATCGAATACCGAGTACAGCGGTATCGATTACTGTTTTACTGAACAGGTGGGAAATTTGCTGTCGCTGGTCAGTAAATTGTTTTAAATAGTTAAAATGAGCAAAAGCAAGTTTTTGGGCTTCTCGTTTGGGAAGAAAACAGTGGTTGTGCAAGAATTTAAGTTCGTTTATTCAAAGGCTATTGAAAAATGTCCTGGATAAAAGACTTTAAACTGAAATCGGACAATTATGAACTATTTATTTATGCGACGAAATATTGACGAAAAGCAACTTTTTTCCAAGATGCAAGTTGTTTTCACTCCCTGGCAGATGAAATTTAAAAAATAAACTCAGGGTGGGTTTAAAATTTGTTTTTAACGCATTTTTCTACTCAGAAATATCTTTGGAAAGTTTATTTATGACTAAATCCTTGAAAACACTTAGTGCAAAAATCGTAATTTTGCTAAAAATAGGAAAAAGCTAAATTTTCAACTTAAGATTGTGAAAAATCTAGTCGGGAAAAATCTCGATTGTGAAAAATCTCTAAACGATTCTTAATTCACTAATCAAAGTATTGTTCATATGAAAATACGGGTTGATATAAAAAACGGCACAACCGTCTAATGTTGTCTGTAGTAGTCTGAATAGGTGCCTCTGAATATTCCGCTAGAAATTGCATGTTTGCTAATCCTGTTCGTAAAAGCATATTCGTCGAAAGATTAGAGTCTATTGATTCAGAAAATATGAGCAGTTTTGAAATCATGCGAATACGTTTCTGTCTCTCTCCAATTTAATACGGGGTGATTTATGGGGGTAAAGGTTAGCACAATGAAATAAAAAAAATAAAATATTTAAAAATCTAGCCGAGAGCATCAAAACCAAATATGGTTTAAACTACTCCTTAAAACAAATCCAAATCCTTCCTCGCCTTCTCACCAATTTTGGTTAGCAGAAAAAACGAGACAAAAGCGCAAATAAAACGCTCAAAAATCAAATTACTGTATATTTACTCACCCCACGTCTCTTTCTCTTAAACCGCGCAAAATGTAGCGAATGCGCAGACAAATTTCCCACCTGTTGTTTTACTGACGAACAGAGGGGACTTTCGTCGACGCTGCATGAAAATTGTGCGGGCTCTTGAGCTTTTTCCCGCAAATTTTGCTTTTCGATGTTTTGCTTACAATTTCTAAGGATGTTGAAGTTTAATTACAGCATTCATGATTCACTGGTTTTTGAAAGCATCTGGGCTTTTTTTGTTGGAAGTTATATACTAACTCTTCAACAACCTAATGACTGTTTTTAAAGCAAAGAAATTGAAAGGAAAACTTATATTTTCATACGAAGATAATGGGTGGCATATTTATGTTGGACTGTTTTGAGCAGATGCTTCGAAGAACATGATATGATCGGACCTTGTATCTTAAAAGTGTGCCTGGAACAGCCGAACAGGGATAGTAATTCACCGGGATAGTACACAGCGGCGTTTAAACTGGCTATGAAATATCCTGAATACTTCGTCGAGGTCTCTACCGCCATGTGACCTGTAGTTTAATGTGGCACGCGTCTTTGAAAGGGCTTTACTGGACTCTAATCGACGTATCAGGTATAATTTAGGTAAGCCAACATTTCTTTGTAATGCAAGCTACATTTTCATATCATTCATATCCGAGTATTTTTAATTTTGTAAAAATTAAGCGCTATATGTTGTTGAAGAAAGGATCAAGTGCTTCATAATAACGCTCAGATCTTGTATACAGATATTCGTATTTTATTCAAAATCTACCCTTTACTTGATAACACGATGATCTACTCGATAAAAATTGGGCAAAGGGGCGATCTTTGCAGAGAAACTTGACCGTTGGGTGAAATCGGTAGTTCAGAGACCCTATTTTCATTGCAGTATTTCGTGACAATTTGTTGGCCGATTTCTAGTTTATATTGTAGAACGGGTTGCTGGTGAATTAAATTAATTGTCTATCTTCTAACGAGTAGTAATAAGCGCGATTCCTTTTTGTTGATGGATGTTGAAATCATTTTGGATTTTTGTTCATATACAACAAGTACACTACCGAGTACTGAATCACTGTTTGCAAAGAAACTAGCCTATATCACCTTCATAATTCCAGCTTATTTTTAAAGTCAAATAGTTTCTCCATGGATATAAAAGTAGTTTTATGGAGTCAAAAATAGGGCAAGTACGAATTTAAAGAAGGTCAATTTGCACTTGTATATTTCACTTCGAAAAAGATATCATATATTAAAAACATGTATATTTATACGGCGAAATTAAACTGCTGCAAAAAAGTTTTTACTTCTACTTTCACGTTCTTATTCCAAAGCAAACACTTCTAAGTCGGAAATGCCTAAAATTGTGAGCGTAGAAACACTAAACAAACAAGAAAACGACTTCATAACACGAGTAGTTTTGGCAAATTTGGTGTTTGTTTTTACAATTCAGTCACGCGATCTACCCGCGCTCACGTGCACTCCACGCTTAAGTTTCTCGCGCATGCGTACACGGAAGTCCCCTCTGTTTTACTGACGTGGTATCGTTCGATACTTGCACCCTTTTTTAAACGACTTGTTTAATTTCACTTCTTAGTTGAATAAGACTTAATGAACCACTAAAATAACTCTTAATATTCCAAATGTGGTGCGCCAAGTCATGTATAGAAAATATTTACGTTTCGGGCTTTCGGTGTATAGCATTATTTTGGTTACATACAGTAATGCAAAATGTTTTTCCGCTGACCGGCAGGTATCGAAAGTAGCCGATGCTAGCAATTTAAGTACTCACTTCCGGTACCGAAAATTGAAATTTTGTGTTTATTTTGGTATCGAAATAGGTAGTATCGTTTGGTATCGAAATAGGTAAGTACCGGTATCGAATTAAAAATCCTGGTATCGCCCATCACTAAATTGAATTTCGCGAAGACAAGTTTTCCCGCGCTTTTATAATTTTGAACAAAACTGGTAGAAAAAACTGCATTAATATCCCAAAATATTTTCATTACTCTGCCATATTGCTTGTCGTTGAAAAACCATGAAAAAAGTCACGATTCGCAACTGTCAATAGGTTCCTGTCCAATATTGTAAAATGATCGGCACCTGACCCTCTCAACGATTACTGATTGGTTAAGTGCGCGTGAGTGTATAATTATTACTTATTTACTGAGACCAAGGGAAACAGTGTGTTTTGTGGCCCCGAGACCGCCGTTGTTCCAGTGAAGCCGAGTGCAACAACAGCGGTCGAGGGGCCACAAAACATGACACTGCTTTCCCGAGGTCTCAGTATATATTTATTAAGTGTTTTGTTATATAGTATACAAGTGTCAAAGTATGAATAATTCACCGGTTATTGGCGTGAACTTAATTTGAAACCAAAAAGTGGATAAATGGAACGTTGTAAATGTTTAGTAAAAAGTTTTAAAAATGAACTTTGGAACTTCATGGTTGACACGCATGCATGCGTATTGCACTCATTTTATTATATACCGGTCAATAAATGTTTAATTGTGGACCGGTTGCCGAACATGACGTTTAGCGGACCGGCACGTGACACGGTTTTGACCAATCGGCAAACAGAAAAATTGAACTTTGACACTCACTATATAACAATAACGTGTGTTATCCAATTTAAGTGCATGAAATATTTTCGCGACGAGCGTTAACGCTTGATTTGAAGGACGCGCAGTGTTGCAATCCAGAACCTTGTTCAGAAATATGAAAAACTAGTTTCATATTATTCTGACACTGTAGAGTACAACGAAAACAATTGTTTCCTCGCCAGAACAGATTCGAACTTGCATTTTCTGATTTCTAGACTGCCACTCTACCATGCTTAGCTGATCAAGTCAGTGGAGCTGAGTCGTCAGAGCAAGCAGCGCCTTCCTCTGAAAAGCTCCGATGGGGATCGA